TTTTTTTTTACTCCATACATTGACGCTCCACCCTAATGTACATGCATATGTACGTATGTATGTATGCTGTATGCATAACCAAAACACGCGAAAAATATCTCCCATACAACCCCAATTTGCCACAGGGCGAAGACGACGTCGTTACGACGTCGCTCTGGTGAAGTCGTTTGGGTGAACTCTAAACGACGTCGCCCTGTAGTGCGATTCACTAACTTTTAACAACGCTACTTGGCGAGTTGTAAACTAACAATTTTAGTTGTTTGCAGTAACGATTGTACGACTTTTGCTTTTTATTTAAAATGATAAAAGGTGGCACCTCTATTATCCGAAGTGTCAAAATCTACGAAAAGCACAAAAGGGAATAGGAAAAAACAAAGTAATTTACACAGATTCTTCTTAAACATGTAAGTATTTCAATAAATTGCGGAATAAATGATCGTATTTCATAATTTAACCAACAACTATTCTTCTTTTATCGCAGGATGGCCTCGACTAGCCAAGCAGCCAACAAGCGGAGCCGCGCTTCAATGGAGCAGTTTGGTGGCATGCTGGACTTCTTCTTTTGAAAACCCGTGACTAGCCGGTGGGAAGTTTCATCGGCTTCACGGGAAGATGGAGCACGAGAAGAAGTGGGAGAAGATGGCTTCCAATTTAAATGCCATTGGAGGCACTCAAAAGTCCACCGAACAGTGGCGTACAGTAAGTAATAAGCCCATTAAGTTTGAACGTACCAGCAAGCAACGATGCGTTGCGTACAAACTGGTAAATTGGGAAAAATTCATCACTTTTATTAAGGTCTGTTGTTTGTGAAAATAATTATTAACGTAAGAATATCGGTTGTCTTATAAAAGTATACATACAAGTGGAGTCAATCCCATGCATTGTCACTGTGCACAGTCTCGTTTATTGTGTGTACATGCATTCATTGTTTGGAGCATTGTACCTGTTAATTTTTATGATACTTTTTTCTTCTTACGTACATAGGTATGGCGCAATTTGAAGAGCAGAACCAGTGTTCGAGTGCGCGACAGGAAAAGGCAGCAGCCGCTAACAGGCAATAAGCCCGTTAAGCAAGCTCCTTTAACAGAGCTGGAGGAGCGGGTCGTGGCCATCATCGGGAGCAACTATATTGAGGGCCATGAGTCTGTGTGACTTATTTCTGACTCAGTATTAACAACTTTTTCATTATTAGGAGCCCCAATTGGCCATGGAAGACGGTGAGTAGATTGTTTTCCTGAATGAAGTGGTGGATTGCGAAGGCTTAATAGAGGAGGAGACGCGGCCGGAAACTCCAACACTCAGAACCCCGCGTAGAGGATTGAAGAGGAAGAGAGAGGCTGATCCTCCTCGTACAATCGACGTCCAAAATAAATTTTTGGAAATTGCCAAAACGCAAGCCGATGCAACCAAAGTAAATATTTTATTAATAGATTTTACAATTTTTAATGATTGTTTTTTAAAATACATAGATGCTGATAGAAAGTTTCGCCAGACTGGTGGAGGTACCATTCCAGCTGGCGCGGGAGCTCCGCAGATACGGAGAACATTATTGCGCATTTTATTCCTTTTAAAAACATATTTGTTCATGCGTTGTATAGAAGAAATCCGTTTACAAGGTATATCGTCGCCTGGGTAAAAGATTGTCGTAAGCGCAGTTTTGACGATTTTTAGTTATAGATGCAGTAATATAAAATTTTTTCTATAATTTAGTAAAAATTTAGTTAGTGATGCAGCCATATTAAACTCCTCAATATCTTAAAAATGACGTTCTCCGTTTTTGGATATCTCCTTTAGTTTGCGAGATATTGAGATCGTTAATTTAGTAGAAATTTCGATCACATTTTGTCGTATTTCATACGATGAGAAAGAAAATCCTTCCTAAACTCAAAGCTAATTAACATTAAAAATAAAAAATTAAATAATTAGAGACTTTTGTGAACTAGTAACATTTTCAGAAACCTTGGAGAATATCTATCTTCGCGTTTTTGAGAAATTGCATTCCAAACTTCAATCGCGATTTCCCACAACCTGCCGAAATCAACATACGAAAATCGTTTACCCAGGCGACGATATATAAATTTCGGTTTTTTGAGAACTGAAATAAGTCCACTCACTGAATTTATACTTATTTTTATACTAGTGAAGCTTGTTAAATTTGCTATCGTCTATGCCAACATGCATATGCAAATTTGGCAATAAATCAATAATGCTGAAATAAATGATAGCAAATGTAAAAGCTTTACTAGCATAAAAAGAAATTTAAATTGAGTGAGTGAACTTTTTTCAGTTCTCAAAATCCGAAATTTATGTATACCTTGAAAACGGATTTACTTTCTAAATCTCTGACTGCATATTTGGATTAAGGGGAAAATTTAACATAAGAAATGAGAAGAATAGAGGTTATACCTTCTATAAAGGCTTATGATCTAGTGTGATTAATGTTAATATACGATTAAGGCAAAAAAATTCTGTCCGAATTCTCAAAATCTGTTGAAAAATTTTCAATAGGGTCGCTAATTGACCGCTCACTCAAACGAATGTTGTGAAGGGCTGCACACGCGTTAACGACTTTACCAGCGAAAGCGGGGTCATATAGCAGAACCCTTTGTTGTGATAACCATCGCCAAGTTCCTTTGAGGACGCCAAAGAGTCTCTCAATCGGGTTCCGTGCCTTGCAGAGCGCCCCATTGTACCGAAATTTTTGTGACCCTTCTGGCTGGTTGGGTAAAGGAGTTATGAGCCATGGCTTTAAGGGGTATCCAGAAGCCCCTTAAAGAAACATGACTTGTCGCACAGCGGAAGAGCTCCAAATATAGGAGTCATGTCGTGCTCCCGGATACCTGGCATTCACGTTAAGGATTTCAAGATTTGGGTCACATATCTATAGCAAATACAATAAACAATTAACAATATACTTCATTTCAAATGCTTTGCTTACCATTTGCACATTTATGGAGGGATATCCATGATGATTGACGTATGCTTCCTCATTATGTTTAGGACCCAAAATGGATATGAGGGTGCAGTCGATAGCCCTGATGGGTCCTCCGACGAAAGGCGCAGGAGCTAAGGAAAACGCTTCCTTGCCAGCTTGACGTTCTATTTGGGTCATGGGGAACTTCACTTCCGACAAGAATAAACGGCTATTGATGGCTTCGGTTACCTTGTGTATGCAGCGGCTGGTAGATGACTGACTCAGTGAAATTCCCCATTGTTCCCCTACAGGCCGTTGATAACATCCCGTGGCGTAGAATCGCAAAGCGCAAAGAACATTTCAAAACAAAAGTGAATTTATTGACACATGTAAAACTTTATAAAAGTAAATATCCATTCCAGCCGTTCAACCGCGTCCGCCACCATGCCTGGACGCACACGGTAAAGCTTCTGGAACTCTGAAGATGGGAGATCTAGGGGATTATCAATATACCGCAGAAAACGCCGATCCACCGTTGAGAAATTTGTCACTGGCTCGTTTTGAGGTAAGCTTAACGCTACAAATTCAAAAGCCATCTCTAATTTTTATTTACTTCTTTTTTTTTGCGGTTTAAGTTACTTTTATTTGTTTAGATATTTTCGCTAACACAAAATTGACAACTCCAATTGAGATGTCGACAATTTAGCAATAGCGGAATCGTAAACGATAACAGCTGATTTTTCGAAGGCCAGTGTTGTTAAGGAAACGTTTTCTGAATAGCAAAATCGATAAAATTGTTGTTTAGTTGACATAACGATAACAAGTGTTGTTAAAATAGCGTAGTGAAGCGCACTGCTGGTGAAGCCGTTACGACGTCGCCCTGGTGAAGTCGTTTGGGTGAACTCGCAACGACGTCGTTACGAAGTCACTCTGGTGAAGTCGTTGGGGTGAACTCTAAACGATGTCGTTACGACGTCGCTCTCATGAAGTCGTTTGGGTGAACTCGAAACGACGTCGTTACGATGTCGCTATGGTGGAGCCGTTACGACGTCGCCCTGGTGAGGTCGTTTGGGTGGACTCGAAACGACGTCGCTGTCGTGAAGTCGTTTGGGTGAACTCGAAACGACGTCGTTACGATGTCGCTCTGGTGAAGCCGTTACGACGTCGCCCTGGTGAAGTCGTTTGGGTGAACTCGAAACGAATCCGTTTCTTCGAACCTACAAGTTTTTTGAGGAACCTTCGGTCTAGGTTGGACAAGTACCACGTCCAAATTTTTATATATATAAGCATAAATTAAAGTTATTCATTTGGATAGTAAACCGTTTTTATTATGAAAATTTTTATCATGACAGAATATGGAATCCACAATGTACACTTGTGCTCAGAAAATTAAGCCACCTACATCTTTTTTTTCAGTATTAATAATATTTTTTTATAAAAGTGTAATTCACTCTAGTGGCCTTATTAATAAGAAATAAAATTTGTGGTTGTGAAGTTTTTTTTTAAATTTGGTAGAAAACTGTACTTTTACTTTAAATTTGGTATAAAAAATGTACGAAAAATAAAACATTAATAATAATTATAATTGAAATACATATGTAGGTGTCTTAATTTTAACAAAAGTGCATTTCCAATTTTTCGAAATTAATGTGATAAAATGCAATTCATTGGCCACCTTAATTTTAAAGATCTTACATATATCTACTACGTCGAGTCTACAAAGAGGTCCTTCAGGCTTTACGCAATTTGAGTAGTGAATAGTAGCTGATGGTATTTCATATGGGGAAAATTGTTCTGTACAAAGTTTGAAGCCATAAACGAAATATTTACTTTGCTCTTTTCTAATGGCTTGAAATTTTTTCATATATACATATATATGTATGTGTACTGCACATTGCTTTAATTTTGAACTACATGGTCCTTGTTAAAAAATACACCCAATTTTAATTAATTTTAAAGATAACTAAAATGAAGTAACAAAAAAATTAATTGTTAAAATTTGCCAATATCTTTGACCCAGGGTGTAGTAATATATTAAAATTTTTGTTTGTATTTTATGACTAAATGTTTTCCTTATTTTTCCTTTTAATTAATATTTAAGTATGTATATATAATTAAAAAAACTTTGAGAAAAAATCAACCGAATTAAATTAAACTATTTTAAACTAAAAAAATTGTTTTTAATTTTCTAGCAATTTTGAGCATCGTTTTGTAGTTCGCTAGTACAGTATATTTTGCTTTGCTGCCTTTATGCTTAAGTGCACATTTAAGATACCTACCCCAAAATGTGCATCAGAGGCATTATTTTAAACATTTATAAGGAAACTGCTCCGATAGATGCATCCAACATACCTGCACATTGGCGATACCTGCCTTAAAAATTGTGCAACTAGTATCAATTATCGAAGAAAGTATTACGTTTACCTGCACTGACCCTACAATTACCTAATTTTACAAGCTTTTATTTATTTTGCTCATCTCGCGGAACAACGAAAATGGCTATCAATTTATGCAGTAATATAGATAATTAGATACTATTCGGTAAAAATTTCGCTTGCAGTAATTTCTACGTGGTAAGTGCTTCTCCATTATTTGGTTTCATAGGGATTTGGATACCTTCCTCATTGAAGTAGTAAACAAAATTCGCTTAAGTGCCTTTTTCGGTTAAGTGCACAAGTTTTTCGTGCAAAGAAGGATGTGCAGCTAAGCAAAATATACTGTATATCGTTTTTTGCGGGCTGCAGGGGAGTCGTTTTTGCGGCTCGCCGGCGAAGTGTGCTTTTCATCGGACAAATTGTTTACCGGAACGAGTCGGAAACGACGTCGTTACGACGACGTTTGGCAAATTGGGACATCGTTAAAAATTTGTCGCGATAAGTTTCTAAGCTGTTGTGAGTGATCGCGAATGGATTACTTGCATCGTTTTTCTTATTTATGAGAGGCCGACATCGGCAATGCTCAGACTTCTCATATTCGAGTGAGGCCGTGGTTACGCCACCAATTTCGATTGGCAATGACCGTGCAATTGTTATTGTGCACAGCACGGAGTGAGAGCATTTTCGAAATCGAACAGCCAGCACGATTTGCTGGGTGAACCGAACAGCCAGCATGCCAAATTTTCAGGGTGGCAATACGCTATTTTGCGAAAAAGTATTAGTATTAAATATTAGAATAGTGAAAAATAGTTTTTTATTATTAATATAAAGTAGATATTAAAAAAAAAAACATTATTATAAAAATTAAATATTATAGAAAGAAAAAATATTAAGTTGTTCTTCCACTTTTCACTTTCCGACTTCAATTTTGATGCATTTTTATTTGCATTTTTACTTCAGTGCTGCCATTGTGTGCGAAATTGTATGAAATGGAAAAAGGCATTTCTTAAGAAGCAACCCTGTGCTCGCCAATCAGAAAACAGAGCGTAACCACTTCTCACGAATCACCGAAATTTTTTCTCTTTTGATTGCCAATTAAAATTGGTGGCATAACCACGCCCTGAGAGGAAATTTCTTAGCTTTTTTCGATCGCGAATGAAAAGCAGCGGAAATTTTTTTGTCGATCGCATTCCGAATGTGAGAGATGATAAATTTGTTTGCATTTTTCACTCGCGATAAAAGAATGCAAAAATAGATTTGGAATATTATCGATCATGATAAATCTCATAAATGAATGAAAACGAATAATCATAAATGAGAATTTCCAAACCCTCCCTGTAGGGAAAACACGAGCTAGTGAACCAAATTTCTAGTTCAGTTCTAGTTCTTTTTCGCCAAAAACGAACCAGTCCGATAGTAACTAGTTCCGAGCAGTCCAAAAGCAGTGAAATGTGGTACTTTCACTAAACTATTTTATTTTATTATTTTTTTTTTGTTTTTTTATATATTCAATTTCAATTTCAGTTTATTTGATATCGTATATACATTAGTACATTAAGATTAAATCTTTTATTGCACAATAAGAAATAAAGAGGATAAGAACATTAAATATAGGAAAACAAGAAGATATAACAAGGAATTAACAAATTTTATAGTACTTATAATTATACAGAGTTATAACAATAACCAACATAGAAAATTTATATCCATTTAAGTTGTTTTATTAGAAAACTAATCGTCGATAAGACCTTGGAAGTTGTGCTTACGTAAAGAGTTCTTCAAAGATGCTGGCAGAGAGTTCCAAAGTTTTACAGCTTAACCAAAAAATAATCTCGATGTGTTAAGATAATTATATTTCGGTAAAATAAAACTGGAAGAGCGTACTCTTCTAGGGAACTTGAGTTTTTCATACAGGTATTCCGGTTTCCTAAACATAATCAGTTTCAACATAAAAATGCAATTTCGAGCTTTTAAGAAATTTCTTAGGTCGCATCCCAGTATCGAGTTTCTGAGGGTATTTAAATGATCAAATTTCTTTAACCAATGTACATATCTGGTGGCAAAATTAAAAGCAACATTAAGTTTTAGAAATGATTGAGAGTCATGTTCACTATACACTACATCAGAATAAGTAATGAGGGGAACAATTAGACTAATTACTATTTTTTTCTAAGTGTCTTGGGGTGTAAAAGCAGAGGTAGCTCGGAGACACCGCAGTGTATAGTAAATTTTTTTTAACTACATCATTTATGTGATCCTCACAAGTCAGTCTAGAATTTACTATGAAGCCAAGATTTTTTACTTTATCAACTAATTGAAGAATATCAGCACCAAGATATAGGTGAAAGACCTCAGAGGGCTGGATCTTATCCTTGCATATTGGAAGCACATATGATTTCCTTGCATTAAGGAGAATCAGGTTTTCATTTGACCACTTAAGAATAGAATGCAAATCATAATTTA